CCAGGATTGAAGCCAGTTGGAGAGAGACAATTCCAATAAGAGCACTAGAACCAGAATTAGAAAATACATTATATAATTGGATGAGTTTCTGAAAATAAATAAATAGAACAAAAGAAGTTTACTGTACTTCAAGGAAACTTAGTACAAGAAAAGCCATAGCAATTAAATATATAATGAACAAATTACCAATATTTAAAGAATTAAATAAAAGAAGACCAGAAGTATATACAACAGCAGAGTGCCAGGTATACCAAGTTGGGAAAAAAGAAATATAGACACATTTAACAAGTTGTAGTGAACAAAGAAGTTTGTGAAAATAGATTCAAAAAGTTGTAACAACAGCAGTATAAAATAGGCTTAAAGAAGAAGAGAAGAACAAAATCCTACTATGAGTCTTATATAAAACACTATTTGGAAAATCAGAAGCTGAGAAAATTAAAAACAGAATAATGTTGATAAAGGGACTCATAAAGGTTAAAGTAGAAAAAAAACTTGAATGACTTTTAACTAAGCAAACAACACAGAAGTAGATAAATATAGTAACAAGCACAGTATGGAACACCTTTTATAACCAAATATGAAGAGTCCAATGTAGAAAAATACAAGACTAAGAGAAGAAGACTAATATAACAAACAAAATGAAAAAAGGTATTCATATAAAAGAAAAATTAAATAAAAAGAAGAAGAAAGATCAACAAATAAGCAAAGAAGAAAAAGAAAAGAAAATAGAGAAAGCAAACCAAATAAAGAAAGAAGCTTTGAAAACAATTAATATGCTTGTTACAGAAAGGAAGAAGCCCTTTTGGTATGGCTTTAAGTAGTTAGACGGGCAGTCTATTTCTAACTAAGATAATGTAACAAGTTGCACTTAGGTACTGTATGGATGGCTAAGTGATGCTAGACTTAGGGATTTGAAAATTCTATATAATTGTATATGTATATAGTTTCAAGATCTTAATAAAGTATTAACATAACTGTTTAAAGTTAAAAAAAAAAAACAAAAAAAAAAAGGTTTATTAATATAAGTAATATAATAGTAACATATTAACAAAATAATAGAACAGTTCTATTATTTTATTTTTAATTACTAATACTAAAAGTAAAATAATAAAACTGTTTTATTATTTTGCTAATATATTACTATTATATTACTTATATTGACAAATCTTAAGTTATTTTACTATTATTTTGCTGTTATGCTACTGTTATACTGTCATTATTTGACAAATATAAGATAGAATGATAGCAGATTTTTTTATTGTTTATCTATTATTCATCCTTTATTCATTTGTTCAACTTATGTAAATTAATAAAAACAAATTTTAAGTTCAAAAATAACAAACATATACATATAATTATGAAATATGTAATAATTATTTATATACAAATCTTAAATAAGCAATTAAAATAAAATTGTTTAATAATACTTTGACTAATATGTTTTTTTGTTTAATGGTTTTTTTTAAACTATTTATGAAAAATATACTTAAATATATTTGTTTACAACTAAAAAAATCAAATATTAATTAACCTTTAATAATTAAAAATCTTTTTTTTATATACTTTCTAACTCATAAAAGAATTATTTACCTTTACAGAAAATATTTAATCCTTTTTGAGAGTTATTCACTCTTGTCAAGAGTTTTAATCCTTGCTAAGTGTTATTAACACTTGTTAAAGGCTATTTTCATCTAACTGTGCCTTGTAGATCCTGACCATTTACCTAAAATAGATCAATAATAAATTATGTACTAACTAAATATATAAAAATAAAAGAAAAATAATAAAGAGAAAAATAATAAAAAAAGATAATAATAATAATAATAATATAGTCACTATTTCTAAGCATAATTCTGACAAGTTTAAATATGTTTTTATCAGTTAGTTATAAAGATTTTACGTGATCAAGGCTTTAATAAATTAGATTACATTGTGACAACATAATAAATAATGCTGCAATACGACTTCACACTCAACGAATTAAAAGTTTTCAAACTTTATGAAATTTCTGTTTCACTTGGTTCAACTGCTCCTAATTTTGATTCAGCATTCAAAGTTAGCCAAACGGTTTGATTTAAAATTAATAGTTAAATTTAATAAAGAATATTAGTTTAATATATAAAGAATGATTTTAATAAAGAATCTTTGAAATATGTTTAGAAATGAACATTTAAAATAAATATGTTAATTCCAATGGATTAAACATCAAGATGATAATTTCAACAAAATCATATGTAATAGTCATTTTCATAATGTGTAGCGACTGAATTATCAAAATAATTCAATAAACTATATTATAAATCAAATTTGTCATCCGAAGCATAGTGAAGACTTACTATGAAGATGTGAAAGTTGTGCCTCAAACTAACACCTGCCTCAGATCACAGCTGACGCACATCGGATGTATATTATTCAGTTAGGTGTGTAGCCTATTGATCGATCAATAATGACAAAAAAACAATTATGTGTATAAAATTTATTAAAGATTGAATGTGCTAAAAAACTTTGGCAAAAACTTAGAAAGAATACACCGCGAAAATTTAGGCCAAAAAAACTATTTATATAGAGTAAAAAATGTACATATTAAATAGAAATAGAATGTGCCGACAAAGAAATTCAAAAAGAACAGAGGTGCTAAAGAGACTGACTTAATGTAAAAGAATGCTACTATTCATTGTAAAATACCAGAGATTCAAAGATGCTATTGGTGGTAAGATGGTTCCAAAGTGATTCAAAATATAGAATACTAAGAAAGGCACCAAAGTGGCTTAAGTAAAGAACGCTACCGATGAAAAAACGGCGAAGAGATCCATGAAACCGAGAATAAAAAGAGTTCCGAGTAGAAGTCAGTTCATAGCTTAGATCTCACCTGACGATCTGCATTTGAGGTGCATCAGCTGCGATCTGTGGCCAGTCGTTAGTCTGAGGCATAACGTAAATACACAAAGGTTCCGCTCACGTGATATATATTCGATCAGAGATCTTCGACCAAATTTTTCGCTCACGTGATGCGACAAAATTCTTTAGAGTTCGCTTATGTTAAGGGTTAGTTATTTTTAAGGTTAGTAAAGGCTGGATAATAGTAAAATTGGCCAAGGAATTTTTTTATTAAAGCTTAAAAGGCCAAATTTTAGAGTTAGAATTTTTGACGAACGTTTGTTTTGAATGGATACGTATCATTTCATCGACAATCGCTTCGCCGAACACCCCATCGCACAGAGCGATGGTTAATATTTAACGATTGTTTGATGATTAATAATTATTGTTCAATATTACTCATTACGCTGTGTGATAGGGTGTTCGGTGAAGTGATCGTCGATGAAATGATACGTATCCGTTTTGGATCTTCCCGAATGTGTTACGTTACACAAATGCGTGATTTGTTATTGGATAGTTTCACGTGATCCAATAATTTTGGTGGGGAAGTTCCGAAATCAATATAACGGACCAGCCCGACAAAATGGAAAATCCCGTAAAATAAAATAAAAGCTTATCGTTTATTAATTGTCATATTGAAATTTTTCAAAGCAAGAACATAAGAATTTGTATACTTAAAAATAGTCATAATAATAAGCTAATTTTGATAGATTATAGAAAGTGATTCATAAAGATAATGCTTCTTCGCTGCCAAAGTAATTCTCAAGGTTGATAATTATGCTTTCATTATATGTGGTAACCAAAATAGTATAAATTCCAATTAACCTATTAAATGGACACAATTCATAAATTTAATTGATTACAAATATAAGGACGGAATGAATTGATTACAAACAATAAAACACAAATTAATTTTAATATAGAGAAATTTATAATAATCACAATGTTTTATTATAAAAATCGGAAAAAAATTAATTTACGAAGCACAAATATAATTTGTTGATCGATGTAACATAAATTCAAATACAAAAAAATCAGATTAGATTAGGGTTTTATGTTTGAGCAATCTAAGTTTATATTAAAATTTTACAAAACAATAAGCAAAATTTTAAAGTTGTTACGTAAAAGTACATATATTTCATGCACTAATGCTGTAGTGTGCAAATAGAAATATGTAGCTTAAAAGCTAATGTTTGCTGCATTATTCCTGATTACCACCGTAGGGCAAAATTTAATCTACATATATATTTATTATTGCTTTAATATAACTTTTCAAGCTTAGAACTGGGAAGTTTATGGAACAAAGTTAGGACGTCCCGGGTGAGATGGACAGCACAAGGCCGAAAAAGCTTGGGACTGTCAACACTGACTTAACAGTCCAAAATATTATTATTGTAAAACATTTTAGCCATGTTTTTCGATAATCAATTCTTTTGTCTAATGGTCCCACAATTTCTTCATATAGTTAGTTATTAAATAAGTACATGTTTAGAAACTTTTTTGTAGATGTTAGTATAAAAATCAGAAAATATGCATATTTTCTAATAATAACTCGTACCACCCGAATATTGCCAATCATTTATAAATCCCGTTATATTTGTTTACTTTTTAGTCATAATACTAATTCGGTCTTTGGTGTTTTAGTATTGTAATAGTATTGTAATTTGGTCCTACACACATGACCGATTACATAAAATGATTGGTTATATTACAAATTCTGATTCACTAAAAAGGTGATAAACTAGAGATTGCGAAATTTTTAGCTGAATTTATCAGTAGTAACTTCCCTTTTTACCTTTTGACAGACCGGTTCATTTTTTCAGTAAGGTTTACTCGTTTTTACCAAGTGAAATTTTATTTATTTAATATTTTACTAACATTCTAAATTACGAATTTTTTTTAAAAAATATATTATCATACAGTTTGACCAAAAGGGTTATCAGTAATAAAGGTACCGTTCATCTTTAATTGACTCGAAAATTGATTCAATTAGTTCTCATATGGTTACAACACGTAATTTGACTAGTGAATTTTAATGGTTTATACATTGTTTATAGGTAACAATTCGCTATATCTTTATCCTCTATACCCATCAACGAATTTGTAATTCGTAACATATCGAGATGAACAGATATAAGCAACAATCATTAGCTGAATCTAAACTCCAACGGTTAGTGGAACTTAACCAAAGACTTCGTAGGGAACTAGATCATCCACGAATACGTGTTAGCGAAGCTAGCAATAGGTTGATTGTTTTTTTTGTCCTTTAAAGTTAAATGGCAGCAACTAATTTATCCTCTCTTTATATCTTCGAATCAAGTCTGATCATTTACTGCAGGAATACTAGAGATTTCTTGGTTCCATCAGTTTGGGGGTCTGTCGATAGGCGTGATGACCCATATGCATCATCAAGTAATAATTGTTTTTGTTTCATCCTATAACATTCTCTCATAGGATTTTTCTTTTTCTTTTATCCCTTAAACCGTCCGGTTTAGCAGGCAAATTTGTCTGCTAAAATTTTATAAGTTCATATCTGATCTACTTTATTAAAAATATTAAAAAAAATTTTTTAAACAATAACTATAATTATATACTATTTTTCTCTTCTTAATATTTATAAAAAAATTGAAATTACTTATAAAAGAAAAATTTACAATTTTTTTTCAAAAAATTTTAGTTTTAAAATTTTTTCTTTTTTTTTAATTTTGCTTTATAAAAATTTAAGATTTGATCCTTATTATTTTAATAAAAAGTTGTAAAGAATTTAAAATTAAATAATTTTAGTATTATAATTTCTTATATTATTAAGTAAAATTTAAACTTTCTTAATAATAACTAAAATTATTTTTTAAAAATATATAAAATTATAAAAAAGTTTTTACAATTTAAATAGTAAAATAAAAAATTGAATTTATTAAAAATGTAATATTTTTGTTAAAATTAAAAATAAAATTATAAAATTTAAATATAATATTTATAAAAAATATATTTTTAAATTTTACTAAATAAATAGAAAAAAAGCTTAAATAAATTTTAGAAAAATTAAAAAAAAAGTTAAAAAAATTTTAATAGTTAAATATGTATACTAGATAGTTTAAGAAATAAATATTTGTTATATATTATTTAGTATTATTTTTACTAATAGCATTATTTAATATATATTTAAAATATATAATTTGTACCAAATAATTATATTTTTTTAATAAAATGTTTATTTCTTAAATAATATAATAAATTATACATCTTTATATATGATTTTATTTATTGTTTTTTAATGTTAAGATAACTTCTTTGGTTTTTTGACTTTTATTAATAACTTTTTTAGTAATATAATTTTGTAAACTATTACAAAAAGAGTGTACAATTGGTTACATATGTAACTTTTCTATATTACCTATTTAAAAAGTTCATTTAAAGGTTTTTTACCAATTACTATACCTTTTAAACCTGCATCTGTATTAATATTACTAGGTTATATTCAGATTATTATCTGAATTTTAGAATTATTTTATCCTTAAAATAAACTTTCTAGAGTCTTCTGTACCTATTTTTACAGTTAATTTGATATTACTATAGCAAAATCAATATTTGTAATCAGGCTAGTCATTAAACTACTATACTTTTGTAAAGTTTACTCAAATTCTAACATCTACTTTACAGCATATTTAAAATACTTTAATATACTCATGTTTGTTCTTTAGATTTCTAATCCAGTTATATATAGTTTTATTTAATTGTATTTTGTATTAGTATTTAAAACTTTTATACATTTTTTATTATTAAATAATATAATTTTATTTAAATTACTAATTATTCTAATTATATTAGTAATTAACTTTATTTACATATATTTTTTTTTTTTAAATATTTATTTTTATAAAAAAGAAAAATTAAAAATTTATTATAATTTTTTATTATATATTTTTTAAACCTTTTATATTAATTATATATTTATATAAATTTTTAAAATAATATTTATTTATATTTTTATAATTTTTTTGCAAATATCTTCTAAACACAAATTAGTTTTCTATTTTACATTGAACTAAAAAAGTTAAAAAACAACAATAGTGGTTATCAGTATATTAAAAATTAACTGTACAAAATAATAGCATACTTTATAGTATTATATAAGCAAAAATACAAAAGTAATATTATATAACTTATACTACTTAAGCAGTAGATCAAAATATAAATATTTATTTATAATATAATAGAATATATAATAACAGATTTATTGAAATTATAAATTGACTCACTTTTTTTTAGGATAAAATACTTTTATTATATACTTTTATACCTATTATTTTGCTTATAATATTTATATAAATTATACTAATTACTCTTTTAATTTTACTGATTTTATTTATTATGCTAATATTCATAAAAAACAAATACAGAGTTTATAGCAAATACAGTATATACTGCCAGTAAACTTATTTTTAAAAAAGATTAATATATCTGTTTTGTGCACATTAATTATTATATTTTATATGCTTTTAAAACTACTATACTATTGCATTTACTAATTTCTTTTATAGTTTCAATTTTGACTAATTAGAAAACAGAAACAAATATAATATAAAAATTAAATATTAATTACTTCTTTTAAAAAATTATATTTATTTTAAAATTTTATCTAAGAAATTATATTTTATAAATGAATTATTTAAAATTAACCACTAATGAAATTTATCATGCAGGAGTAATAATATCCAAGTCTGATTTGCAAGAGTTGCCTAATTGGATTGGGCAAAAATATCCTTAAATTTAAATTTCTGATGAATTTTACCATATTGTATAATTATTACTATATTATATAATTAATTTACTATATTTATATAGGATTGATTGTAATTAATCATGATTGTAACTGCACTTAGACTTTTTTCAAGTGCTTTGCAGAACCACAAAGCTTCATTGTGCAACTAAATAATTACTTAATTAGCAAAAACAAGAGAGTTAAATTAAAAAAGCAGGCAGATCTTATATGTACTAACAGGTCTAAAGTTTGGTAATAATTAGCAACTTCATACTAGCAATTAATAATAGATAAAATTGACTAAGACTTATTTATAAAAATTCCAGATATTTTCAATAATACAAATTTTTTGCCACCTTTTGACAATAAAGATAGTAATAGTATTATTGATATAAACCTTTGTTTATCATATTTCAACCTGATAGATAATGATATTGTTATAAATACAGATCTTCTAATGTTTACTGAATATAACAATAATCATCTATTATTTTCCAAATATGGTGATAATTCTTTGTTTGAGGACAAAGATACAAGCAGCTCATTACTTTTTGGAAATGTCAATAATCATAATAAAATAGATGTTTTTAGTTATTAACATAACCTTCATGTAGAAAATAAATTTAATAATTGGCCATTTGTTAATAGGTTTATCTATAACTATTGCCTGAAGTGAGGATTTGAATACCAAGTTTTTTATAATGACAAAGACTCAAATGATCCTAGTATTACTTGTTATAAGTCCTTTTATTATTTATCAAGTAATACTTATGAATTTTAGAAAGCAATTAATCAAAATTTACATTGTATATGGGATATCACAAAAATGAATTGTAGATGGTACTGCACCTTTATACTTTCAAAAACTACATATCTTATGAAATGCACAACATTAAAAGATAAATATAACTATAAAGTAAATTCTGCCCAAGTATTTAATATTATTGATAGATATTGATGTCTTAGTAAAAAAATAATACAAAACATTAAGTTTTTTTTAAATTGTAAAGTAGCACCTATGACTCAATTAGAGATACTTAAAAAGAAATATTCACAATATGTATTTCATAAGCAAAATGTATATAAGACAATTTATAAATTATATATAGATGATGATAAAAGGCTTAATTCTGTTTTATTTCTTGATATTCTTTTTGAAAAAATGTCTCAAAATCTATGCTAGAAAGTATTTATCTGACATTCTGGTTCTAAATATCAATTATCAGGTGTTTTCTAAATGTTTCTCTCTTAACAAGAGTTGTACCAGTGTTTTCTGATATAGTGTTTAATAATAATACATGCAAGACAAATAAATACAATATGTTTCTTAGTGTTTTTATAATAAAAGACAATTACAGAAAATTTTAAAATATGGCAAATGCGCTAGTTAAAGATGAACTTTCTTCAACATATGTCTGAATTTTACAATGTTTAAAAAAAGCTACTGATAATGTAGTTTCAAAATATTTTTGGACTGATGCAAAACCTGGCTTAATTAATGCAGTATCACAAGTTTTTTCAAATACATACTGTTATAGATGAAAGCCTTCTTAGTTTTCATACTATAATAACGACACAGTATAGAGAATCCCTTATGGGTATATGCGATGTTCAAGAGGAAAGTATAGCTTCTGTTAGACATTGTCAAGAAACTATACCCTTCTCTGAGGCAGTTCGGGAAAGGT